ACAGAGGACCCCGGCACATCCCCGTTTCCAAACTGGCAGAGGTGTCCCGGGGGAAGCGGAGGGTTTCTGCACGCTGGGGCCAGTGCCGAGGCACTCAGGAGCGTGGAAGGGACACAGGGGACGATGCTCCGAAGGCGCTGCCTCCTCCGTTTTGGGAGGCAGAGCTATTTGCAGAGCTGGCTGCTCAGTGTACACAAGCTATTTCTGGAAAAGCCTTGACTGAGAAAAGCCATCTGGAGAAAGGCGGCAGCGGAGCCGTGTCTCCGGGAGCAGCTGGCTCCGCGCTGGGATCCGGTGGCTTTCGAGGGCTCTGACGCGCAGGGAAAACACAGAGTCTCCCCTCGTTCCCAGCCACATCGACCAACTGGACATCGGGAGGTGCTTTGCCAGTGAAGCCCGGTGGCTTTATCCCCATTTGCCCAGGGCTGTTTCCAGCCTGGGGAAATGCTCAGGTTCCCCATGACCGAGGGCCACTATACATCTAAGATTCAGGCAGACAAGTTAAGACCTGGAGATGCCATAAGACCAGATCCCGGCGCCGTCGTGGGCGATAGGAAACCCGGAGCGGAGGGCTTGAACCCAACACCGGCTACTGGGATGGGGGTATCAAGTGAGACCCCCTTCCCGAAAAAAAAGGGGTAGCAGGAGGACAGTCCCACCGCTGCCACCAGGATGCCTGGCCAAGGAGAGGGGCTGGGAGCAGGTGGGCTAGCGGTGGTCCTGCCACGATGGCCCCACGTACGGCATGCTGCTTTGGATAACAGCAGGGCAAAGCTCGCGCCCTCCGGGGCTGCCGAGCATGAGGAGCCCCCGCGAGAGCCGGGACATCTCCAAGGGAGCGTAGTGGGAGATAAACAAACAAAAATGCAATATTTTCCTCTGCCGCCAAGATTACATCAGTGCTGGCTGGCTGAGTTTGATTAAAACTCTCATTTATTACATTTGGGAAGAATATAATTTAGCTACCAGATTAAAAGCAAATAAGACCCCTATGAAGGGTCCCAGCGCATCCGTTTCCCCGAAGCCACCGTGTGCCACGGCAGGACGCTCCGGGCGGTGACGGTGACACCTCAGGGTACCCTCAGCATTCCCACCCAGGTTGCCGGCCCCTCTGCCAGCCTTTCTCTCGCTCCAGAGGTTGCCTTACGGCTCCAGCACTGTGTGTGGAGCTCCCCTGGGGATTACAGGCACCGGGGACCCACGCGGCCAAGGAAGGGCCACCGCAGGGGTGCAGATGGCTCCTCCAGCGGGCAGGGGCATCAAGGGACCTGGGTCCATCAAGACGCATCACCCGGTGAAAGGACACCCGTGGGCTACGGCCATCCAGCCCCGATCTGCCCGTGTCGGTGAGCTGGACCGTCCCCGGGGTGCTCCGTGGGGGTATAAGGATGACATGATCCCATCCCTGATCCGACCCAGGCAGCTGCTGGGGAAGAAGCCCTGCTCTCCCAAACCCCCTCCATACAGCCTGTTCAAATAGACACACACAAGGTTGCTGCTCTGGCAAGCTTTCAGCTGGTTGCCTATTACTTTTAGATGAGCTGGCTATTTAAACAGCACTTAAGTATTACAGCTGCTGGTCTGTAAACTGTCTCCGTGACACGAGCCCTTGTTCCCAGGCACTTCAAAAGCCGCTGTGTAAAAGAAATTAATAACAAAGTGAATTGTACTCGAATGCAGCTTCTGGAGATGTAGAGTGGCGGCGGGGGAGTGGCAGAAGGTGAGGGATGATGCCATTTTTAGGACATCACAAACCCAGGTCAGATTAAGACCAAAACGGGCTGAGGTCCGCGAGGCTTTCTGCTCGGGGTCATTACCGGCAATGATGGGCATCTGAAATCTAAACCAGCATGATGTCAAACGATTGCTTTCTAAGCAGGCTGGTTTTTCTTCCCAGCCTGACGTTCGGAAGCCGGGAGGGATGGAGTTGCCTCCTGACACCAGTGGGGTTTTGGTCAAGGCTGGCCCAGCAGCCAGCGATCGATGCTCAACCCCTGCGCCAACAACTGCCTCTAGCTTCAAGCTGCTCCTGGCCGGTGCTGTTTGTTCACTTTGTGATGGACAGAATTTGGGAAAACTCAAGCCTAAAAACCTCTACAGTCTCAGCTGGAGGCCTCAGGGCTTTCATCCCTGGCCTTTGCCAAATCAATGCAGCAGCAGACAAACCCACCAGCCCTCCACGGAGCTGCCCTTGATCCCAGCAAGCATAGAGAAGGAAAAAATGTATTTTAAAAAGATGCAGGTTTGCTCGGACCAACCATAATTCACTGCATGCCCTGCGGGCAGGAACAAGAGGCTGGTATAGAGAAAGAACATCTTACGTGGGCTTCAACCCCAAGGGGGACGTGGTTTCTCCCCAGTTTTCTGCTGGAATGTTCGAGGAGCAGCGCCGCTCGTCTGCAAAATATCCCTGGCTGGGGAAGAAGCAGTGATCGGGACCTCGGCGTCACGGCTCCGCCAGACGCCGCACGGCCATCGTCAGTGTTGATTAATGAGACATCTGAGCAGTCACTCAGCGCTGCAATGAGTCTGTAAGCAAACAAGATATATTAGGGGAAAACGCTTGTGGGAGAAGAAAAGGGTTAGGCTGTTGACTCCAAAAACCTCACAGACCCCGCCGGGAGACTCCTGTTGGTATCTGACTGTTCGGACAGGGAGTGTCCAGTCCCCAGCCAGATGTCATCTCAGCTAGCATCTCTCCCAAGCACCATTTTGCTCCTGATTTCCAAGGGGATTTGTCTCACAGGGGCCCTGCAGGTGCTGGCAGGAGAGGGAGGCGGGAGCCGGTCCCACCTGCCTGGGGAGAGTAACATGATGTCGTTCAGAGCTGGGATCTTACCTCCAAATCCCTCTTTCTTTGACAAGAGCAGAAATCATCCACTCCATCTTCAAACAGCAGTTCAAAGCCTTTACATCACTCTCAAGATCAATTAGCAGCTAAATAATAATCCAGGATAAGTCTTATCAAGGCATAAGAAAAGCGACATGGTCAGTCAGTGATGTGGGAGATCCAAGGTAGGAGAAAGCTTCTTGTTCCTGGTTAAATCCAACATCTCCCAGGAAAACGCAGCCTCTTCCCATAACAAATAGCAGTATCAGGAGTTAATACTCACCAGAGGAACATTTCAAAGAAAACCCACCTCGGGCAGCGGGTCTGTTTGCTGTATGTGCATTAACACATGCGTGCTCAGGCAGGGGAGCCGCAGAACTCTGGTCACCGTTGGCCAACCCAAGCGCCCACCAAGGCAATGCATGGCTGACCCTGTAAAGGACGGGTTAGGGATGGCATAGAGCTGACGGTCAGGCAGGTCCTGGGCCAGGAGGCTCAGGAGAGAGGTGCGTGCATAGCCTGAGGATGGCCATTAAATACAGGGACACCATCTCAGATCTGGGACATCCTCAAATGCAAACAGTGGCAAGCAGAGAGGAGACTCTGGAGGCTCCCTCCGATTCCCCTGTCCCGTTCTTACGTGTCATGGCTGGGCACCGAGCTCACAGACCTCCAGCATGACCCAGAACGGCTGCCTTTCTTGCTCTGGGCTCCCATCTGGTGCTGATGTTCCACTCCAGCGGCCGTCACTGCAGGATGCAGGGTGCTCCCCAAGCCACGGGTGAAAGCCTCGCAGCCCCACCAGCCTGGGGGTGCCATGCCTTTACTTCCACCCCCCCCCTTTTCCAAGGCACCTCCAAATGCTAGGAAAGAAAAAATAAATAAATAACCAGCTGCAGCAAGCTGGCTGCACCAGAACATTTATTTCGTATAATGCATCATTTATTTTCAATTATCGTGGTACTTTCCCCCCGCCTCCCTCCCCGCGCGCTTGGCAGATTGCTGGTGGAAAGTTTGCAGAGTTGCAAAACAGCCGTGGCAGCAGCAGCGGCTCTGGCACGAGGCGAAGGGACAGACGTGACGGGGACGGCGCTGGCACCTCTTACAGCAGCGCGGGGCTGGGAGGAGGATGGCAGCCCGGCGGGAGGGGGGTACGGATGGACACCTCGGGGCTATGGGTCAGAACAAGGAGAGACGTCCCAGCTGTCAGCTCACCTCCGGACTAATGTGCTGAAGGAGGTGACAGCAGCGAAGCAGAGGCGGTGACAGGAACACTGCAGGGGAGGGCACAGAGAGGGATGAGAGCAGCGCTATGGGCATCTTCTCCTTCTAGACACAGTTTCACCCTCCCAGCACCGGCCTCCTCTCCTTTTCCCTCTCTTCCAGGGATCTACTCTCAACACCTTCAGGAGCCAGAGCTTGGGGATGGAGCCGGGTCAACCTCCGGCTCGTGGGAGATGTCCAGAGCTGACCTCTGGGATGCAGCTTGAGATGCGGTTTCCATAGCTGGTAGTTGAAAAACCCAAGCCCACCCCAAGTCCCTGCATGGCCAGGAGCCCTCCAAGGGCCAGGGTGGCTCTGGGCACAACCACAGCCGCTGTAGTCAGGGTGCTTCTGCAAAACCCGCCGTGTCCCGCAGCATCCCCATCCCACGGGAAGATGCTGCTGCTGCAGCCCAGGCACGGAGGAGCGGCGCTCACCGTCTTTGCCCCATACTTGCACACCAAACAGCTTTTTTATTCCCAGGTCTCTCTCAGTCAAAGCCATTTGAAGATCTCTGACATATCATGAAGAATTTTCTAATGGGGTTCAGCAGACTTTAAGATTTATATCAAAAAGCCCCAATTTATTGAATTAATGCTGCAGAGCAAACCCACGGCTGCTTAACAACTGGAGTATCAGTATTTTACAGCAACATAACTAATAAGGCCATTAATACAAACTGGGCTCACTCCTGACATTTATATCACTGTAAATCTCTCTTTCAGCACTGGAATTATTTATGCCATCCCAGGCACTCGAGAAGCCCTGTCGTCCTTTATCAGGCTGAAAGATTTAAGCCAAGAAATGACGAATACAAACATAATAAAAAAAAAGGAGCTCAAGAAGAGCTGGGACACCAGAACCCCAGCCAGGTCCCTTCAGACCAAACCCATCCAACGTACCTGGCTGCAGCTCCCCACGCGCATCCCGTTTGCCCTGGGCAAGGAACGCTTGGATGGTTTTAAGCAGGGATCACGGATGCAGCCGGTCCCCTTCTCCCCAGCATCCCCTCCAGAGATTTCCCAGCACAGCCCCAAGCCTGGGGCAGCCAGGAAGGCTGAAAGCTGCACGGGGTGAGAAAGGTCTAAACCAACCCCCAAAAACCCTCCCGAGACTTAACGAAGCACCCAGGAAACTGCAAATAGCAATGAGATCAGGGCAGGGGGGTAGGAGAGGAGAGGAGCCTGACAGACCTCACTGAGTACTAATTATTTCTGGCATTATCTGCACAGACAGATAAGGTTCTCATTAATAAACTTGAAGGGGGGGGGGGACACAACAGGCACAGAGAGAAGCAGCAACAGCCGAATGCCAAGCAAGAGCTGCGAATGAACCACAACCACCAGCAAAATGCAATCAGGCAGAGGGAGCAATTAGAGGCCCGGCTAGCAGCGGTGGCAGCGTGGGGGACAGTAATTAGCTGCCAAGCCCGTCCCCACTCGGCTTTGTTTTGCGGGCTGCCTCATAATTCACGACATGTTGGAAATGAAATCATTAGTAATCTTTCATAGGCAGGGCCTTATTAAACCCACTATCTGCACTTATTTAATTGGAAGGAGATAAACCCAGGCCAGCACGGGAAGCGGGGCAATGGAGATGCATCGACTCCTTGTACAGCCTTGCTGCAAAATAAATGCAGGGGGTGCAGGCGCGTATGGGGGACAGGGGGTTGCAGGGGCTCTGAAACCACTAATTTTGATTTTTATCTATGTGAAAGAGCCCCAAGAGGCAGGAGGACGGGGGAAAGCCCTTGGTTTGCAGGTAGTGTCACCCAGCCCATGGGCTCTGGGGCAGGATTACGCAGGAGCAGGGTCTGGCCAGCTTTGTGCTGGCTCGGCAGACGGATGGAAATTGGGGAGGGGGGGGATGGCGGGAGGCGGGGGGGGACCCAAGAGGCTGCAGCAATTAGCAGATGCAGGCAGGTCCCCGTGGCAATGGGACGGTCCAGCACATTCCACCCTGCACAGCCTCATCTCAAAGGTCAGCGGTGGCATGGGGGCTGCTACTGCCTGGGGTCAGAGGAGGGTGGTGGGCAACCTGGGGTCCCTCAGGGCCGTGCCACTGAGACACGGGCTCTGGCTGACACGGGGGACCCCCACAGCAGCTTCGTCGTGGTTCTGCTTCAATTCAGATGGGTTCAAACCAGACATCGTTTTTCCCCTGCCCCAACGGAGGGGAAGATGCTCGGTCCACCCAAAAGAGAATTCTGCAGCAAATAGTTAAAATCAGGATAAAACAAACCCCCTTCCCCAACAGCTCAGCCTCTCTGAATGATGCATCCATCCCAAACAGCCACCCCTGGGTGACTGGTGACCCCACACAGCAGCCCCCCCAGCCCGACCTGCTCCCCCCAGGTCCCTTCTCCGGCTCTCCCCCAGTGCCTGCGGATCCACGGGGTGACATTTCCATCATCCGTGCTGCTCTCCCTGGGGAGCTGTGCTGCTCCAGCTCCCTCCCCGGGTAGCTGTTCTCTTTGATTGCTGTTGAAAGGAGATATCATCCTGCCTGATGGGGAGACTTCCAGCCCTCCTGCGAGAGCCCTTCACTTTTTGAGAAGCGGGAGCTCCAGGGCCTCTAGTGAACTTTATTCACAGATGGGGAAAACGGAGAGAGATTGGAAAGGTGGAGAGAGAATTGCTTTCCTCCGTTTTATTGGAGCCGAGTCTTTAAACAGCTCTCCTTAAACTGCGGCATTGCAAAAGAGGTGAAAGCCACGCGGAGGTGAAAGGATGATATTTCTTGAGGCAGGGCGAGGTGCCATCGTGGTAAATATTTAATTAGGAGTCAAACTGCTAGACCAAGGAGTTTTGCCTGCGGAGATTTATCAGACACAAACATCATCTGTTTGAAAAAATAAGCAGCTCATCAGGAAGTATTTCTTTCTGCTTGAGCCTGAATCCACACCTAGCTATTTAAAGCCAGAGTAATCTGTTGAACCTCTTTATGCCACTCCAGCCCAGCGATGAGACGGGCTCAGGGGCTGGGGGGGGGGGCAGTTTGGCCAGGGAAGATGCTCTTAAACCCTGTCCTTGTAACAGTAAGCGTTTCATCTCCTCCTCATCTTCCTCCCTTCCAAAATTGAGGGAATATTGGTACAAAGCCCTGAAGACCCACCCATGTCCCCTGATGGGCATGGGGTGGGTGTCTGGGGCTTTGCTCTGGGTGCAGATTCCCTGCCTCCCCCTGTATCCCACCCCACCAGACATGCACAGCCGAGTGGCACGTGGGTGGGCAAACCCTGCCAGGTAGCGTAGGAAAACAGGGCACAGACGAACCCCGCTTCAGAAGGCAAAACTTGCACTAAAGCCTACCTAAGCCAGGATTTGGTCACAGCAGTGAGATGCTAGTGATTGCCTCCCTAGCCAGGCTTGCAGGACCTTTCCAGACATCCATTAGCTCTGGAGAGTCCCAAATGTGGGTGGCCACAGCCACATCCATCTCCCACCTGGCTTGTAGGCACCACGGGATGGGAGGGTTTAAAATCCTCTTTGCTTCCTTCAATGAACTAACCCCAAGATGGGGAGGTTTGGTTGGAAATCTCCCCGTGCTGGCATGGGCACAGCATCAGGTTTTGCAAGGGCACCAAGAATGGTCCATCAGTAGCTCGGGATCCCAGGAAACACAGCTCAAAGTCCTGTTAGGAGAGGGAAATGTTGACTCTCTATACACCTACAAACATTAAGCTTGCAAATCAAGCCTATATTTAAGAAATCACTAATGCTTAAGGAGCTAAAACTCCAGCGTGTGATTGATGGAAAACTGAGAGCTGCTCTACATCAAGCTGAGCGCGAGCATGTCCTCCGGTGCCCCCAATGCATTTGCAGTGCAGCTCAACTCGTGTCCCAGATGGGAAGGACTGCAAGGATTTATCCCAAAGTCCATTCCTCCCTCGTACTGCCAGCGTTGGCACCAGTTAGAGTCACTCCGCTGATTCCCATTTAATATCGCAGGGAATTGCCAGCATCTCCTTTCTGTGCATCTTTTCCTCTCTTGGTCACTCAAGCAGAGGGAAGGTTTCATCGTTTCCTTCAAGGTGATAAAGTGCTACTTCTGCAGCGCTTGTTGTCTGGAGCAATTCATGTGCCACGAGAATGGCAGCAGCCAGAGCAGCTTTTCTTTCAGGTTTCCCCCTCCCCACATCTTGCCCAAGGTCCCCAGTCCCCCGTACAAGCCACTGTAAGTCCTTGGTACTCTCCTAGCCTTCAGCCAGGTGAAGCTGGCCTTGAACCAAACAGAGTTTGGCCCCAAGTTAAGGTTAAAAAAAGAAAACCTCAGAATCGTCTCATTGAGAAAAAGGGTTGAAAGGCCAAGCTCCTCACCGCTCTGGCTCCTTTGCCCTCAGCAGAAGAGCAAGCAAACTCTGGGCTGCTTAATGAAGAATTGCAGCACTCGGTGGATGTAATGGGCAGAGTGCTGTCATCTGTGGCTGCCGTTCAAATTCATTAAGCACGGCATCGCTCCGCTAGCGCTGCCAGCCCGTATTCTCTTCCCCGCAGCCAGTGAGCACGCAGGGCACGGACGGGAGCTGCTCGGGGTCTGCACGGGTTGCAGACCTGCTCCACTGCTGCCTCTGGGTCTATGCCACCCCATCGCCTTTGCTTTGCTGCGCAGAGCTCTCCCACAGCCCTGACAGCCCGGGGACATCTCGCCCATCCAGAGCAACAGGAGGATCAAAGCTGCGGTGGCAAAGCGAGAGGCCAGGATGAGATTCCCCAGGGAGGGAGGTGAGCCCAGCGCCGGCACGGCAATACGGGGGGGTGAGTTCACGTTGCATCGTGCAAGACTGGAGAGAGGAAAAAAAAAAATCCCATCCCCTATCCTTCTAGGATCTCCTTTCGCATACCTTGCTGCCCAGCTTCTCCACAAGCCAAATAAAACCTTTCTCCAGATCCTCTTGGTAACAGCAGTGACTTGCCCTGCTTGGCTGTAATTAGCTGCAAAACCACCAAAAAAATTGCCCAGCTGAAGAACATTTAAGGACCAAAAGAAAAAGGAACTGAGCTGCAAGAAAGCAAGCAAAATCCATCATGGCTAATTATTTGCTCTTAATTGTCAAAATAAGATGGATTGATGAAAGGAGTTGGTAAGCAGGATGATAGCAGGCGTGTTCTCGAAGGCAAGCACTGTAGTAGGATCCAAAAGCACGACTTTTTCATAATCCATGGGCTGTTAATTATCTAAACACAGGTCCCTTAGAGCTGCCTCAGTGAAGATTAATTAGTTTTTGAAATAATAGCTAAATTGATACTGGGAAGGAGTTTGGGTTCCCAAATAATAGCTGAAAATTAGCCAGTCTGTTTCTCCATTTCTCTTTGCCACGTTCAGGAGGACATTTGTCTCTGTTGCTGTTTCAGAAAAGGGCCATTAATCAAATCAGCAGCTGGTCCTTCCCAACCCTGTGATGTTGCAGAGAGACAAAAGGGAGGCATCACCCACAAGTGTTAGGAAAAAAATCCCCAAACCCAGTGATTAGCAACTCCGGAGACTGTGTCCCCAGAAAGGGCTGGATCTGTTCAACTGGGGTAACTCTCCTGGAGGTGAGGAATGTCTCCTGTGACAAGCAGACACCTACAGGGAAGGGATTTGTCTGTCTTTAAAACAAATTACCTGCACTAATCCCAAATAGCGGGATTTATGTCTCCTGGTTCACCCAAGTTTGACGTCTAAGTTGTCGCCGCCTGCCCAAGCTTTCACCCACGAGAGGGCCACACGCGTCTAGGACTCGTTCCTGCGTGTCCTGGGGGTGTGTGCGTGCTGGCTTGTCCCTCCATGGTGATGCTCACCGTCACCCTCTCCCACCTGGCTCTGCGTTTCACGGGACACGCGGGAACGTCTCTGTGTAGGAACATCTCCGCGTTAGGAACATCTCCCGTCAGCATTGGTGACAGCTCTGCTGTCACACGCGGCTGAGACCATCTGAGGGGCTCAGGAGCTGTCAGATGTACAGGCACATAAAAAGCGTGATGGCACACATCTTGTTCCCTGGGAAAATCAGCCAGTGGGAACCTTGGCTCCTCCAAGCAGCTCCCCAGTGCTCCCTGCCTCCCCGGGCATTCGACCCTGCCTTGGGGATGGCATTGGCCATCGTCACACACAGGCGAGCAGCTCTGAGCACAGAGCCTGCAAAAAAACCCCCTCACAGCAGGTACCCACGCAGGTGGGACCCCGCTGCCCAGAGGGACCCTGCCTTCCCAGCCCACGGTGATGGGGTGCTCTGGGGAAGCAGATCTGTGTTACAGCCAAGCGAAGGTGCAGGCGCTGAAGGCTGCCCTATCAATCACACCAGCCTCCGCTCACGGAGCCCCTTGTCTTGAAAGAGCGTCTGCTCTGCCACATACGCGTGGCTGACACGCATGAAACCCTTTGCAGCATTTATTGATGTACGTTACCTTGGATTTTATGGCATAATAAATAATGGGGGAGGCAGGCACCCATCCCCTCAATGCCATCTGCACTGCATCACCCACCCTTCGTGGCTTCTCAAACCCAGGACTGCAGACAGCATCTTCCCCGGGATGTCATTACTCAGACACCCTGCCAGCCACACGTGTCCAAGGGACAGAAGGTCCTGCTCCCAGGCGGGGAGGCCAAGACCTTGTTCCCTTTCCTATTCAGCAGCCTTTAGTAAACAGGCATCACCAGCTACCAACAAAAAACGTCCTCCCAAGCTGCTCGTTATCGTTGGCATCAAACAGCCACAGCCAAACGAGGGGCACGCTGGCTCGGTGCGGGGTGATTCTCCTCCAACATCTGCCGGAGCCACAGTGCAAGGCTCAGAGCCTTTCCCTGAAGGTGACAGCCGTGCCCTTTGCAATACAGAATTCCAGCAGCCTCCTATGGACCACTGCCCCGCTCCGACCCCGGAGTGGAGACTGCCGGCAGACAGATCGCTCTCACTTCACGGCGCTTGCCGGCAGGATCAGACCTCAGCGGTTTGTTACGCTACAGAGGAGGCTTAAGAGGTGCTCAGAGAAGAGATCCTAGTAGATAAGAGGGAGCAGACAACAGGCCCGGAGCAGAGGGAAGCCACTCCATCTCCGGGAGGCTCGGTTTATCAGCGCAGGTCTCGGGCAGCACCGAGTCCCTACTGCCGTGTCAGCCAGCGAGCAGCAAACATCTCATTAGTAACGGCAGGGCTCCCGCTGCTTCACCAGCCTGGGTTGAACCAGCTCCCAGCCGGGAACGATATTCCCCCCCTGGCAGCAGATTAAAGGCAAGGCAGGGAGAGGGAGGGGGAACAAACCTTGCGGCTGCTGGTCCAGCATCGTCCTGAGGTCCTGGAGCACACGGGCTTTGGGCTGAGTAACCTTGTGGTCTCGCCTTGCTGCAATGCCTTAGCTAGATTAATCACTCCCGCCATGGGCAAGAGAAGTCAAGTGGATGCTGTCTCCTTGGCCATTACTCTGATTTTTCATCCTTCGCCTACTGTGAATAAAAAAAACATGACAGTGAGAGTGGCAGCCCCCCAGCCCAGCATCCATCCTCACTGTGCAAACACACAGAACAGGGCGAGGAGCACCCATCGCTCACTGTGCCCTTCACTGTCCAAAAAGCCACTGATTTATGTCCAAGTACCGACAGTCCTTAAGCAAAATCGAGGCACCTCTGCCTCGAGGAAGGGCCAGGTCCTGCGCAGAGCCTGGTGGTGCTCCCTTCTGCAGCATTGCTTCTGACACAGGTTTGCTCGGATTCAGCCCGTTGCCAGAAACACACACCCTCAGCTGAGAAAATACTTCTATTGCCAGGTTTTGGGGTACCTCCACTAAAAACAGAAGTGAGGGGAGCACCAGGGCCCAAGGGAAGAGCTATGTTTCAGGAACCGTTACACCGAGGTGGCTTTGGATGGGCAGCATCCACACCACCTCCTCCCTCCTCCAGCCAGGCATCACGGCCCCTGGGAGGGCAAGCAAAGCTCCAGCTCCTGGGTAGGACGCCGGGGGTCTGCTCCACTCGGACATCTCCACGCTTGATATTTTCAGCACGGGCTTTTTGAACCTCTGAGTCCTCCCTGGCTGTCTGCAAGCACAAACACCAGCTCTTCTGGGCTTTTCAGCCCAGTTAATATGATGGAGTGAGCATGTGGTCTCTTTTCTAGATTCCCTTTTAGCTATTTCCCAGCCCCAGGGGTGGAGATAGTTTTTCATCCCCTTTTGCAAGGTGATTAAACGCTGCACTTGTAAAACACTTCATTCCGGGAAACAAATTATGCAAAACACACTCAGAGGGATCTAATACAAACTGATACAATCAGCTAGCAGTGGGGACTCCGCTCCCAGGATTTACCTTCTGGGGACTATGAGAAGCTGCCTGGACAGCCTGCTGGCCTGCTCCATCCCAGAAGAGGGTCTCCACCAGGCACAACGCTGAGCTCCGGCTGATCCTGCTCCATCGCAGCCTCCCGGGGACCTCGGAGCCTGATTCTCCTCTGGAGAGGGCTGGATGGTTGCACGTGTGGCATAGGGACAGGCCAGGCTGCAGGAGACGTGGGCATCGCACAGAGCAGCTCTGGATCCAGCAAATCTGGATCTCCTGGTGTTGCTCATTTTAAAACTCACATGGGTTTTTTTAGAGCTTTTCTGTTGCTACTAGCCACGCTGCAACACCCTCACGCACCATGCTGGGAGAGGAGCATCTGGATGGACCTTCACTCATCGCCGTGTTTCCAAGCAGCTCCAGGGATGCTCTACCTGCCCGCAGCCTCGACCAGCGCTTACCCAGCAAGAGACAACGCTAACGAGAGCTTTCCATGCCTCAGACCACTAACGATGGGGAACGATGCTGCTTGCCTGTGGACAGGCCACTCATCATGGCAGGTGTCAGAAAAAAAGGAGTTTTTACTTCTTCTGGACAGGCTCAAGGATGCTCCAGGGGAAAGCAGTGTGGGCAGGGAATGTGCTGGATTAGGACAGAAACGAAGCCAACCTGGAGCTTGCCTTGGGTGCATGGCTGTTGGAAAAAAAAGGAAGAAAAGAGAAATCAAGATTTCCCGCCCCCGATTTGCTGACTCAGTAATGACTCAAGGGGCTAAATTTAGCTATCGAAGCGCTCAGCAGTGGGGTGAGCGGCTGTTGGCCTCTCCTTAACCTTATTATCAGACCTTTTAAGTAAACCCTTCACCAGCTCAGGAGAGATTCTGCTCTGGCTCCGAGGGGATTATAAACCACCTTTGAAAGCTGGAATAAAGCACATGTACGTACAGAGGTACGCACACAGCTTTCTGGTGGCGATGCGAGACCTGGGAGCAGAGAGACAGCGCTTGAGCGCATCACGCTTGGTAAGTTGTCATAGCAACAGGGAATTTTAAAAGCAATTAGGTGTGGGTTCATCTGCATCGCACCGAGGGATCTCCAAGAGCCCCGGTGCTGCAGGCAGCCTGCTGGAGCTGCTGCGGACAAGGGACTCCTCCGGTTCAGAGAGATGTGGTGGCACTGCCTAAACATCAGCGGGCAACCCCAAAATGGCTTTGCAAGCCAGGTGGGTGCTGGTTCAACAGTTCAGCCTGCCCTAGGGAGAGGAGATGCCCTGTGGGGAAACACAGAGCTGTGACCCAGGCCTGTTTCTGTACCAGGGTGCAACAAGACAGAGTTGAAGAACTTTCCGACCGAAGAAAAGTATGAATTTCTAAACAGCAACAATATCATCTTCTGCAATACACCTTGACCTGGCTGCAAGCTAAGCTGGCTCCGTGCTTTAATAAGGCCCATTCCTGTAAGGTCAATCATTATATAACCTCCCACAAAACCTTCATCAACCATTTCCCAGAAAAACCCAGCCTGGAGAGCAGCTCGCCTCCTGCGCCGCTCAGGGTTCATGCCGAAGCAGTCAGTGTGTGATCCAGCGAGCTGCTCCTCGCTCCTCTCCAGCCCCAGGGCAGGAGCTGGGGGAACCTGCCCACCCCAAGCCACCCACGCTTCCCAAATGCTGCTGACGGGACCATCGGCCACAGCAGGAACGGAGATAGATTCGACGACGTTCACCGTCACACGGGCTGAAAGCATCACCCCTTCTCCGCAGATAACACCACACGCTCTACTTTTCCAATTCCAATAGCACTGCTAAGAGCTTTTTTCTTTTTCCCCTTTTTTTCATATACTAAAAATCAGTTCATTCTCCTCACTGCTAGAAATTCCTCTGAAGTTTCTCATCGCATCTTTTCGCTTCCCTTCAAAATTTCTACATTTTCCAGGCTCCGTGCTGCATGAAGTGCTGTTGATTCCCAGCTTCCCCTTCCGCTTTCCACTTATTTTTCCACATTTTCTGCTCACAGTGGCCACTCTGGCCAGGGCATATGATCTGGCATTCACTTCTCTGGCTGGGGATGTTCGCTTTTGCATCAGACAGCTTCCAGGAGGCCCTGAGAGCTGCAGAAGCGTGGGCGATGCTGTGTTCATGCCTTGCTTTAGCATCCAACCTCCCCTTTTATTTACGGGCTAGAGAAGAGGTAGTAGCATTTACCAGAGACCGGGCTGGGTAGCAGCATTTCAGCTGCTTTCTCCCAGTCTGGCGAGAGAGGGGGGTAACGTACATCTGCAGAGGGGAGATAAGGTAGTCGGGCACCTCAAATGCCTGGGATCTTATTAAAGGAGAGCTGGCTGGCGAGATCCTATCGCTGCACAGAAATATCTGCAACTTCATCCTCGCCTGTAACACGAACCAAAACAAATCGAATGAGCAGGGCGGTCAGGTTGGGCTCTTCTCCAAGGCAGAACGGGCAGGGAGCGGGGGGAGGTTGCCCCCCACGCGGCCGGGACCCCGGCAGAGCAGTCGGAGCGCACGGCCGGGAGGACGGACGGACAGCCGCGCGGCAGCCCGGCGAGGGGTGGAGATGGCTCAGCCAAAGCGATAAGGGAGCTGCCGGTGGGTGCTGAGGTTGGGCCGTTACATCAACGGGGCAGGATGGTGCTGCAGGCTGTAGATGTAGGGACTAGGGAGACCTCGTGAAGGGCAAGAGACAGGATTCGGCCTCACGTGCCGAAGGGTGCGCAGCCCAAGGGAGCTCCTGAAAAAGCAGATGCCTGGCAGATGTCTTGAACCTGGCTCGCAGAAGTGCCTCTCTACGGGGACCTTAGGGACCCTGAGTCACACTGTCGCCCCAGGGCTGGCCAGCATTACTGCTGATGGATAAATCTGCGGCAATCTGAGCCAATCTGACTGCTAATGCAGGCAGCAGAGCCCATCCCTGCTGCCCGCGATCCTGGGAGCACTCAGGGAGCCAGAGCTGGATTTTAAACTCGCTCTTCCCACATTCACTCAGGGACATGGGGGACAGGGACAGCTCTTGGGCAGCCAGCATCTCCCCTGCCACGGTACCAGCTCCCAGCCCTCCAGACTGGCTCAGTCGGTCCCACCTCCTGTCAAAGGGCTGTCAGCCCAGCAGGTAAAGCTGGAGAACGGTGCCCAAGCATTTTTCCACCCCACGCTGTTTCCCCAGGGACAGCGCGGTTGGTTTGCCAAGTCTTTTTCCCACCCCTCTGCTCCAGCCGCAGCAGAGCGAAGCGGGCAGAGCAGGCAGCTAAGCACCTGCATGGAGCCAGGTCTTGCCCTGGCAAAGCCCTGAACAACTTGCACATAAGCGAAGCTCCGATTTCCAGCTCCTTTCCTTCTGCCCAGGAAGTGTATCCTGACACCTGGGAGCCTGCTTTATTTCAGGAGCCATCACATGCAGCTTGTTCCTCTTGGGAACAAGCACGAGGCAGGCAGCAGCACAGGGAGGGATACCTGCCAGCAAACACCGTTCGTGCCAGTCGTGGCCAAGAGGAGCCAAGGGGAGAGGACCCAGATGCCACAGGCTCCTTTCTGCCAAGGGCAAAGCTTGCTTTGACCCCGCCGTGATTTGGTGAAGGGGTTTTGGAGGGCAGGTAGAGCCTCACCAAGGCTCCTGGGACAGGGATAGGTACAAACAACATCCCAAGCAGTTATAGCACTCTTCTTGTCACATTAAACTTCATAAAAGCCACATGAATAATAGCAATAAACTCTCCCCCACCCTTCAAAAGGGAGGGCGAGTGTGCAGGAGCCTGCTCCAAGCCCTCCCAGGAAGCAAAAGAGGATGCAGCCTCCAGGTCCCCACCGTGCCCCCTCCAAAAAGCCTGGGAACAGCCCGCCAGCTCACGGCGCAGAGCAGCCTTCGCCTGAGTCACAGGGGTCTCGGTGCCACCTCCCACCCAGCCACGGGAACAAAAGGAACCTCGTCATCCTCCCTTGCACGGCATGTGCTGGCAGGGAGGGGGGGAAAAAAGGTGCCTCTGCCTGCCGGCAGCGAGCTCTGCCCTCCCCACCGCTCTGGGAGAAGGAGAGCAAACAAATCAAGCCCCCGCAGCCAGGCGCGTGGGCAGAGCGTGACAGCATCTCACCCATGGGTGGGCTCTGCTCTGAAAGGGAAGTTTTCCAGCAGCGTTTGGGAATAAGGCTGTGCAGGCTAGGGCAGCACAGGGAGAGGAGCGCTGAGCTCGTAGCGCCAGGGATGGGAGAAGAGGCCAAGCACCGCAGCAGGGAGCCAACACGAACATCGGTAGAAGGACCATCACATCCATGCAGGGGAGCTCAGAGCTGCACGTCACGTCAGGAGGAGGGGGACAGGCACAGCTGCTAAGAGTCAACCGAGAGCAGTGATATTTGGGAGAAAATGAGTAGGCATGGGGAGGCAGGCCCATTTACACCAAAGCAACAGATGCAGAAAAGCTTCTGTCAGCTCCTCTCACCCTCTGGAAACACAACCCTGGGAGCACCACGCTCCCCTGCTCACCATGCTGGGGATCACAGCCTGCCCAGCCCAGCCTCTACGCCAGCAGGGCAAGAAAGCATCCAACACGGGGGGCAAACACAGATTTGGGAAAGTAGAACGCATCAAACCAGCCAGCAAAGTCTGTTGTCGGCTGGTGTCTCTGTGTTGCCCCACTGAGACTGAGCCCACACGCTGC